CCTTGTCGACGATCACTCCAACGGCTTCTTCACCATCGATTCATCCCCCCTTCACCTGCGTTTGCACTTCGCGATACCTATACATGCCAAGCTTCAATTCACTCACCTCACGAACGTACCTATTCCCCCCTTTTCCCTCTCGTCTCGAGTGGCAAAGACCCAAGCGAATGGCAATAGGTAACGCCACCTCCCAAAGCAAGCTTGCGCCACCATCGCTTGCTTCCACACACAAACACAGCCGACAACCGCGCCTCCCGTCCCGTCCCATCCCAAAATGTGTCGTCAAAGTCTTGAACCATATCTCCTTATTGCAGTACTGGAAATGTGTGCGTGCTAGTGCGTTCTTGGAGACCTCTCCGTATACACACGGCCACATTCGACTCTCTCTCCAAGCCCCCCGCGTCCCTTTCCCATTTACCTTTCCCTCGTCGCCGCCCATCCTCTTTCATGGAACTCAAAATTCTGGACCAAAGAAAAGCGGACAGAAGAGGCGGGTGACGAAGACGAGGAGGCGGCCGCGGCGCGGCGGCATAGAAAGTGAAGAGTAAAGGACCCCTTGCGGCCTTAAACTGAATTTCGAGAAATAAAGATGGTGTGGTGATTGTGAGGCAATTGCAGTTGATGACGAAGACGAAGACCTTCAACCAGACCTATACCAAGCTACGCTACACTTCGTCCGGGAGGCTTAGGTATGATTAGGCGCTTTCCCCTTACGTACATTACGGGAAATATATCCCATGAACGGAAGCGGTGTTGCCTTGCAAAGACCGCAAACGGCGCAATGCGGAGAACGGAGGCGGGCACGACGACGCCGGTCCTGGATGTGGCGCCGGTTCTCGACCAGCCTTCCGTCCTAAGCTAGCTATCCATCTTGGCCTACTGCGCGACGGCAGATGGCGATCTTTACAATGGGATTCTGATGGATGTTGAAGGTGATCATGTCTCGCAGACTAGCTGCAACCGCAGAACGCCATGTATCACCAGATCTCAACGCTCCTGGATGTGCATCGTAGACAACACCCGGTAGACCTTCCCGTCGCGGGTTCACCTCACGAGTGAGATGCGTAGAGAGCCTTCGAGGAACGGCCACTTAGCTACGCATCATGTCACAATTGCACGATATTAAGGAGATTTTCGTAATTAAACAGAATATTTAGCCACCTTCCATCCATCAGGCTCTCTCAAATGCATTCAAGTTCATTGCTTCTTTTCCTCTTGCTATCCATCCATGGGGGCCAACTTCCCATCTCTCTCCTTCTCTCCTGCCCCCATCTCACTCTCTCACTGCCGCTGCCCGCCCGCAGTAGGATTCCGTCTTCCGCGGCGAGCCCGTCTGCTGGTCGAGACATCATGTTTGGTACAGAACTACCTCCCACCTTTCCCCTCTTATTCCTGAACGCGGGCCAACAATAGCACAACCAAAAACGTATACCGCCTGATTCGCGAGGCAATATACGAGGGGATAGCCGGGAGGTAGGAAGAAAAATACAGTCGCGTAATCAAGGGAATCTTGGGAAACCGTCGGGTCGCCGTCTCATCGTCGGGAAGAAAGTTAATTTCATGAGCCAGCCTCCCCACGACGCTTTCTGGCTTGGGTCATGCAATTAGAAGTAAAGGGTATTGTAGAAAAAGCAAACGTTTTTGTTGTTCAAATCAGACCGCACAACCGCAGATTCTCTTGAATGATGATGTCTAGTTAAAAGGTTAGCTTGAGTCTCTTTGTGCGCCTTGTCTCACGCAGTGCATGATGAACGTTGGACGTACCATTCACTGCCGCCATGACGAAGCGGATCTGAGTTGTGTCTGTCGCGCAGGTGAAGTGCGTGTAGATTTGCTTAGTCTCATGCTGGTTCAAGCTGACGAATCGGTTGAGAATGTAGTCGCACGCAGCAGCATAGTCATCTCCGCCTTCGTAATCGGGGAAGTAGTTCTTCATCGGGCTGACGGGGAGCTTCTCCTTGAAACGATCGATCTTGTTCAAGAAGAGGATGATAGACGTCTTGATGAACCATCTTGAGTTGCAGATGGAGTCGAAGAGAGTCAAGGCCTCCTGCATACGGTTGACAGTCTCGTCCTCGAATAGTAGCTGGTCGTACTCGGAAATGGCGACCAGGAAGAGAATGGTAGTGACGTTTTCGAAGCAGTGAATCCACTTCTTTCGCTCAGATCGTTGACCACCGACATCGAACATTCTGTAGGTCAGGTCGCCAATGATGAATGTGGTTTCCGTGATACCCGTTGTCTTGACACGCGATCGGAGGACATCCTGGTCGTTGGGCATGTAGTCAGGAGCGGCGATACGCGCGATATTATCGAAATAGCTGGGTCTCGTTAGCGCACATGGCAATTTCCCACACGAGGAGCAGTCACTCACTATCTTGCTGAATCGTTGAGCTGGTATTCGCGAGAGCGCTTGAAGCACTCTTGCACACCTCGATCCTTCCACAGCGCCTCAATCGCGCTTCCAACTTCAGGAGGCAGAACATCGCCCTCGATCTGGGCGGGCTGCATGAAGATGGTTTGGACGTGGTACTCCATGCGCTGGTCCTCAAGGGGCAGCTCCAAGGACTCCATTGCCTCGAGGATGACACGCATGGATTGCACCGTGTTGCTGAAGATAATCTCCTTGAAGGATTCCCGTTCATCGCGTGAGTAGCCGCCCTCGTGAATCAGCTTCATCTGTTTCAGAATTGTCGACTTTCCGGATTCACCAGCACCTATAGAACTGTTAGAGAATCATTATGCAGCGATGCGATGATTGAACGTCGTCGGATGGCGCTAGGTACGGCGCGCACAGAACATGCAATCGCGGGCAGATGTTGACGTACCCAGAAGAAGCATCTTGATCTCGTTGCGCTGCATCATCTTATCCCTCTTCAGCTGATTCTCGATTTCCTCATTGCGGGCCTTGCCCTCCTTGTCCTCCGTGCTCATTCCGCAACCCATTTTGGCGGCTTGGTGTCGTTGGAAACGACGACTGGTAGAATAAAATTGATGGGATTAAAGGGAATTGGGGATTCAGTAAAGAATTGGGCGTTGCGCGTTGGAGACCTGAAAGAAGCAAAGCTTGTTAGCCAACCACGTCGCAGGTGGATGTGATGCCGACGGGCAAACGAGAGAGACGGGTCGAATTGTTTGGGGGCGACGGGCTGGAATGCGAAGTTGATCCAGGCGATGGCGGATAAGAGACGAAGAGTCGAAAGGTCGAGGGAGGATGCTACCATCGAGCGAGCGGGCAGGTGGAGGAGTTTCTCCTTTCTAGGCTGTCTCTTTTGCGTGTCTCGTTCGTTTCGCTTTCTCAATTCCCAGTGGCTCTATGTCGGCGCCGGCAAGTTGGAAGATTCGTGGTGTGTGTGTCTCTCTCTCGCCTGCATGCGGTAGGAAAAGTTGGATGAAACTCACCTCTTGGTCGTTGGATTGATGATGGAATCACTCAATTGACGATGAGTCGTCGAAAGACGCAGCAAACAGGAAAAGAAAACACGAGCCGTTGGGCGGACGGTGGGAGGATGGGATGGTCGCGACAGGATTGGGAGACCAGGAGCAGGAGAGGGAGAGAGAAAAGAGAGGAATGGGTTGGGAGGTGCCTCTACTACGGTATCAGGCCAAAGTTTAACCCCCTTGTCAGGTACCGGTGGGGATGGCCCGTGCCTGCCTTCCATGGGCAATTTAACCAATCAGAAGCCACTATTTTAGCACAGGCCCACTAATTAGCCCAGCCTAACTTTTTTACTAATTACGAATTCTTCCTCTTATATACTACCTACTTACTTACTTACCTCACTTTTAACGAATTATTATAAATATAATATAGCTAGTAAGTAGTATAATAAAGTATTTTATTAAGGCTAATTATTAGCGGATTTATATACTATATACTAATATAAAATTTATATAAGCTTAAATAATTAAATTAATTAGATTTATAAAAAATTAAGTCCGTATAGTTATAAGGGCCTCGTTAGTAATAATTGCGCCGCGTTCTAACTATTTATAAATTATAACTTTATAATAAAAAGAGGCTCTCGTTAAGTATATTATTTTTTTTTAAAAACGGCCGCTAAGCTTCTTTTTTATTATTTTTAATTATACTCTTTTTTTTTTAATTCGGTATTTATATAATATAAGTAGCCCTATATTAGCTCGGGTTTTATTATTATATTACTTATTATAAGCCCCCTATATTTAAAACTAATTAAATTAAATATCTTACTTAAGCCTAAGAGTACCTCTACTAAACTATTAAAAACTAATAAAAAGTTTTATAAATAAACGAGATATAAGTTATAAGCGGTTATTATTATAAGCTTTATATTATTTATTACTATAATAAGGAATAAGACCTAATATATATTATTAAGAAGTATTAATATAAATAGGGTTAAATATTTTAAAAATATTTCTCTAGGGATTAGAAGGGACTAAGTATTTTTTAAGAGAAGGATTAGGGTAGTATACGTACTAATACTTATTAAAAATATATTATATTAATTATTAATAATTAAATTTATTTTTATTAATAAATATATAATAATAACTTTATTTTAATATAAAACGGTACCTTAATATATAATATAGAGTTAACTTAGTAAGAGCTTAATAATTATAGCGTTTATTTAATATTCTAATTACTTTTCTTACTTAACTTTAACTTTATTAAAACGTATTAGAATTAGATAAAGGATTATATATAAGAGCTTATAAGTATATAAAAAAACCCCTTATATAACGTATTATAATAATAAGTTAAAGAGGCCTAGGATACTTTTTTAAAGGACTTTTTATACTTATTATTAAATATAATACCCGCGCGTTACTAAGTAGTAATTAATATTAATAGAATATATATTAAATACTAATTTAGCTATAGAAATTAATTAAGATTTAATAATTATTAATTATGTTAGCTATTTAGCGCTAACGATTTAATTAGTACGTTAACCCTTGTCTGTAGATCGGTACCGAGCTAGGGGATTAAACTTACCCCTATAAACCAAGTAATGTGGAGAGGAGAGATGGGAAAGGGCAAGGGTGGAGGAGTTATGAGCAAGGATGGCGGCGACGGTGCTGCGAGGAACCAGAGGGTAGTGGGAGAAAAAGAGTGGGCGGCAGTCGTCGCCGGGGCGGACAATGCGCTTCGGGGCGAGGTACGGGGATAAAAGTACACTGTGTGAAGAAGACGGAGAGAGGCACGGCGGAGGCGAGGAAATGGCGAATTGGCGGTCTTTCCAACTTGGTGGACAATGAGGAGGGGGTAAGGCACGCCGCATGGGGGGAGGGCACGGGGGGGGAAGGAGGGAACCAGTGGCACCAGCCTGTGGTGCCAGACGTGGTCCACGGGGTTTCCTACCAGGCTGGTGTCTGTCTATGTACGCTGTATCCGTACCGATATGAGGCGTCCCGTTCTTTTGGACTTCAGATTGACAGCCCCGACTGGCTGTACCTGGCCATGATGGAGGAGTTGGCAGCAAGACTAGTGGCTTTTTGGGGGCCATCGCCGGGCGTCCTCGACACTGAAGCAGCCTGGTGGGGGACGCTGGACTCTGGAGGCTCCTTCCCGTGGCCAGTGCGCGGCAACGCACCTCACTTCACTTCACACCTCAAACTCGGGCTCACTTGACTTGAACTCATCACCAGCTCGCACTTATTTCAGCCATTTGCATTTCACATATGTATATACACACTATGAAAGTACTATAATTTCCATGGCTTTCGCAAGCAATACATAAGAAAAGCTTCAGAGATCAAGGCCACGAGCATAGATAGGTACGATGTGGGCAATGCTTTGGACGCGAATATCCAGCTACCTTCCAGTAGGTACCTGTCCGTACGGCGCGTCCCTCTGGCTATAGTGCAGGGGCCAACAGGGGCTGGGAGTTCCAGAAGCACGGACAAGGTACATGTCCTGGCCTTGGTTTTGGTGCTAAGCTGTCTCTGGTGCGGCCCGGTACGTATCCACCTGTACCTGCTTTATGTGATATATCGCCTTACATAAGGGCATGTACGTACTTCTCGATGCATTTAGCCCCAGTTTCTCGTCTGGCCTCCCCGGTCGCTATTGTCTTAGGTTGTCCTGTCATCGCCTGTCTCTTCCTTTCCTGAGCCAAGCTAACGTCGATGTTCAGCGCCGTCTTCTCGCCCCGAGCTGACACTGAGAGATGCGGTTAGAGGCACCGCAGATCGGGAAGCCGATGAGATGGATGCTTTGTACCGTCCACAACCTACCTATTCCTTACGCGCCTACACCCACGCATACTCCGTACCTACACTACCTTTGCTCTGCTCCTGTGCAAGTGTCAGAAACACACGGCCAGACTGACGAAGACCTCGCCGACCAATCGACGACAACCTGCTAGACCTGGATGGAGACGATGACCAGGAGTGTCTTCCAGCGGGCGTGGATCCGCACCCAGGCCTTTGCAACGTTGAAATCACCGCGACCGGGCCAATAGCCAGTGGAGAAGAGCTCGGCGAGGTCTCATCCAGCCAGAGGTTGCCCGCAACGAAGCCGAAGTCCCCTGGAGTCCCTGGCGTCTCTGGGCGGGAAAAGAACAGGGGAAAGGGGTCTCGCACTGGTCTGCCTGGCCTGACTGGTCTTGAAAAGTCCTTGTTCGCCGCCCTGACTAATGTAAAATTTCCTCGCGCTACCACTGACCATAGACCAGGCACGGAGATGGCCTCTCTGGGCCCTGTGTGAGCTCTTCCTTCGGCCGGGTACGAATCCGCTAACTGCAATGGGACTCCATGTCTCTCCTAGACTACCGCTACGGATACAATCTGTTGCTGTGTGGTAGTTAATATGGATCAAGCCACCTTTGGTGACTGGTCTAGGAACAATAATTAGGTGAGAAGCACGAGCCAATGCCAATACGAACCGGAACTTTGACATATTATCTTGAGCTGACGCCCATTTAGCAAATTGACGGTTCGCGGTCTACAGCGACTTGACAACATCATGATGATTCCTACGGGTGCAATCTGTGAACTCCGTAAGCGTCGAACGGCAACTCATCCTCTGCCGACCGGCAGTAGCATCTGCGGATGTGGAGGACTCGGGAGTCGGTCGGGGAGGGGGGACCGCGGGCGGGCTCAGTTCAGATTCAGTCCCAACCAGGAAGAAGAAAATCTGCACGCTTCCTTTTTCGCAACCATCTGCACCATAGCCTGCAGCTGCAAGCAACGCCAGACCATCCGCCGCGGCCAAGCAGACGAGAGATCCACCCATCCACAACCTACCCAACATGGATGGGTTATGGAACATTGGAATTCGAGTAACGTCCTTCCATCAAAACTTCCATTGCAATTCTCGAAACACTACTGTCCTCGTCAGCCGCCTCCCTAGGGCAAGGAGGTGAACGAAGTTGTTGCCGTGGGCAAGGTCCTATCCACACCTTCAGGTCCTCCACAAGATCTACCCACCACCACGGCCTCGTTCATTACGGTGGCCACCCATCATGGAGTGCGGGTACTCCGTATTTACCAGGCCTTTACCCTACATACTCGTTGGTGTGCACAGATCTGGATCTTAGTGTTAGTTGGACGCCAAACTGCATTGCACACTTACCAGACAAACAAGCAAAAGACCCAAACTCTCCATACACTTGGCCATCACCTTTTGATTCGCCCGCAAACGCTTCTGCAATCTGCACTGCCTCGACCTTGCTTCAGAAGACAGACCATGGATGTTGAGGTGGGACAAAGAACCCGCATGCTCAAAGGCAGCCTTCTCTCAAAACAGGCCTAAAGTACATGGAGACTAGTAGCATTCCCTTTCTTTTCTACTCCAAAGTGGGAACTCATGCTGTCAACTCAAAAAAAGAGCCAGACGCCAATGGGCCGGTCCATCGCTCTAGTTCTCTTTCATCCATTAGGAAGAACCGGGGCCGCATCGGAGCTACGGTCCCACGGCCATGGCGGCTACTCTACTCATCACCGTTCTAGCTCGTACAAGCGTCTCTGCCACCACATTCGGCGTCAACGATATTACCTTCAGACCCGGAAATCGTATGCATAGTCTCGTCCTGAGATCGTCCTTGCGCTTATTGGGGCAGGCAGCGGAATCTCGGATTGCCGTGATATCGGATTATCGCGAGAGATCCCGTCTTCTTGTCCACCCTTGCGTCCACTTAAGATGTTTGGCCGCTCCACCTCTTTTATGCGGTATACCACACGCCGTCTATCGATAATTGGACAGTGTTGGCCAACTACTCTCAACGAGATCGTCGTCTGGGACACATTGAAAGATCCTTTTGATCAAAGAGCGATATGATCAAAAAAAACACCGCTTGCTTGCCCTGGCCTATGTGTTTGCTTCAAATCTCGTCTCATTTAGCAATTCTCTCTTGTGTGCGTGGCGCAAAGTCTCCAGAAGCAAGAAGCTAACGTAATGGGAAAAGAGTAAGCAAAATATACTTAGACACATACAAATCCTATCATCAGGGGCAGTGGCGTCCAACGCCTCGATCGACTGTTCGAAAGCCCAGTTTGGATCTTGACTATCTGAATAATATTCTAGCCGGCTCACATTAGGAGCTGTCATCACGCCAAGACAAGGCTCTATGTCGAATTTTCCTCTACCCAAACCCAATATCAAATAACTGGTCGACAATAACAGCATTGTTTGCGGCAAGTAGTCATTTCACTATTTCCGAGTTTCCAACATCTTTGGGCCTCCGACTCAGCCCGAGATGTTTGCTTTTTACCAGTCCACGTACTCCTTCGCGTCTGCCCTCGGGCGCTTGCTACTTTGCTGCAAGCTGCCGCCAAGGTGATTCACCTACATATGAGTTCAGTGTTCAGTACTGGCTACCGCTACACACGATTCTGCTTGCACATGGTACCATCGGCGGATCAAAAGCTAGTACTAACAAAATCCTGCCAGTAAACAAGATCTACGTCTGAACGCGATAATCTGTTCCGGTACCCAGATCCCCATTGACGCACGGGCTTAATAAACCCGAAAAGTCGACCTCGATGTCTGTTCAAAGAATCGCTCGGCCGTGTTTGAGCATCGAGCAAAGCAGGCTTTGCACTAAGAAAGCCACCGACCCAAGCTGCTCGGCAATAGACGAAGCTGTGAAGCTCAAAGAGAGACATCATTCATACTGACTCGGTCCTGTTGCATTGATTGGCTGCCAGAGCGCCTCGACGGCTTAGATCTTGGAAATGGTACTTGTAGGGCAATCATTGCAGCCAGCCAATAAAACGCCACACGAACATGATCATGTATCGAGAGCTAAGCACCACATTAACCACAAGTCACGGTATCGAGATGGGCGCTCCGACTTGCGATACTGCCGGAGCCACCCTCTTAGTCGGCCGACTTAAAATATGAAAACTTACTTCTCTGGAAAGCAAACAACAGAGCAAACAGACCAGAAGCGGTATCTACTTCGCAGGCTCACCGGGGAGAACCGTCTGAAGCCCAGGGCATTCGGCGCTTCGTCGTTACGTCTAAACCCTTACAGGGCGCACAGATTATCACGTCTTTCACATCGAAGTCAACGTACGCGTTGACACATTGGAGAGGGTAGGTATCTCTTGATTTACCGCTCAGTGCCATGAGAGCCAAAGCCTGGAGTTTGGGACGGTTAGACTCCACCATTTTAGCTGCCTTGAAACACCAAGCCATCTTAGCCGACCATGCAAGGGCAAAATATCACCCACCCTTGCTGGTAACTGTATACATTAATACAGTCAGGCTGTTGTGAATCTCATCTGCGTTACGATAATACGATGGCGGTCGAAGCCCCCTCGAGGCGGGCACAGAAAGATCGGACAGTGATCTCGGGGTTCCATTCCGCTGACCTGCAGGCGTGCACTTCCCGAACCTGTTTGGACTTGTCGATCATCACCAAATTTTGGACGGTTTTCTGGGGGGCACAACGGGGCTATCGAGAATGTGCCCCTACCATGCGGTATCCGTACCAGGTAACACCATCCTCACTGTCGAAAATACGGTCTGAAGTGGATTCTCAGTATTTCATGCAAATGGATAGACCTTGCTCTGGCCCCTCATTTGTTGTAATTCGGAGTCCAGACTTCTTGCCTCTCAGGTCTCACTCGATGGCACGTCTCAAAGGCGAGACTCTCTACAGTGTGCTGGTGGGGAAGCAGCTCCAGATCGACAAGCCAGATGAGGGACATCTGCTTTTGCAAACCAAGGCTTTAGCAGCCGCCGTCCGAGAGACTTTGACAAGAACGCCGTCTAAAGCGGCTCTCAAAAGGGAACCAATAGAAGCATTTGACAAGCCGGCGTACCTAGACATCTCGCATCCGAAATAAGGTAATTTCGCACATTCACTAGATGCATTGCAAGCAGCCGGTCGGAAACTACCAGAGAAACTATTCCCGCCTGGTACAGGGAGGCCACATGGCAGACGAGCTGCCTTTTCCTCAAAGCAAAGCGGGATCCATCCAAGCCATTGGCAGAGGCTGGGGGCTCATAGTACGTAGTCATCGCACGCCTGAAGAGGCAAATCTGTGGAGTTGCAAAAAGTCGTTCCACGGGGGATCACGAGAGGGCTCTTTTTAATTGAAGAGGACCCAGAATTGTGGAGGCTCTCTTCGTTTCCGAGGCCCGGTCCCATCCACTCACACCGTCTTCGTCGTCAAGGTCGTCTTGCCCATTTGCCTCTGCCGCCCACTGACCCAGTGCAACTCCATGAGTGGACGAATAGCAGTGCGTACAGTTGGTGAACGCGCACTAAAAAGTTGGCAGATGGAGCGTTCCCTGCGCGTCGTCCTCTTGCATGTCATGCAGGTACGAAGATGGTGCTCTGCAAGGTCGTTGTAGTAATGAGCGGCACCCTCTTACGATCATCTGCTGTTCCCCTGAAGACTCCCCCTAGTGAAGGTTACCTTTCGCGGAAAATCGTCATTATTCCATCTGGACTTTGGTCGGCTAGTTCGGACGGCGTGTGCTTTGACCTTGGATTCTGACGATTGGGTTTCTCCTGTTATGGAGTATTACACAGTAGATGCTGAAGCATCCGGAAAGGAGAAAAACGAAGAAGAAAAAAGAGAACGTGGTGTTCTAGAAGGGCCCACCGAAGCTTTCCGCCCCTGAGCCTGCCTCTTGTGTAACCACCATCTGGCACATCATACAGACGAGCTGGCACCCAATCCATGACTCCAGCGCTCCTTCGTTGGCCACCGTGGATATCGTCCTCCACTCCGGCTGTTCGAGTTTTGTTTCGGACTGGACTAGATCCTCATGGATCCGGAAAGCTGTGAAACGAAGCCTCTCCGCTGTGTGCTCTAGACGAATACTGTTATGCGGATGATATGAATTAGGACAATTGGGAAACGAAGGATATCATTCTACCTTGGGGAGACATACAGAAACCGCGGAACATACGGTAAAGCGCCACCAACCAGAGTACGGGTTCAAGCGATGCCTGTGGCGTTCGTAGCCGCCTGAAGAGTTAGAACGATGTCCAAGCATAGCTTCTGCCCCTGTAGATCACACAAGTCACTTGAGGAGAGCTTGTGCATCCCCAGAGTTCTGGACACAGAAGACACAGCCACACAGCATAGGAATGGAACCTAGACTGATAGACCAAGATGGGGCGAATGGGTTCGCCCATCAAACCGGTCGTATGGCAGAACCGTACTGCACCGGGCAGCCAGAGACGGAAGCCGGACCGGGCAGCACAAGCGTCATCGGCCGGAGCAGAGCCCCGCAATTACGTTGCCGGCACCGAAAAACAAGCTTGCTTAGCGCCGTCATACCAACCTCTCTGCCTGCATCTTGGACGCGAACTTGAAGCTTGTTTTGCTCGCGACCGCATTATTCTTCTTCATTCCTCTGCCAATTCCACCACGGACAGCGTCTTGAAGTCAATTGAGCGCGCAAACGGGCAAACATGTCTATCCCTATGAACCGCCTGGGCGGCCGCGGTAAGCAACTTCGCCATGTTTCGTTTTCGAATCCTCCTGGAGCCATGGCTTGAAATCCGAGACCGCCACAAACAGGCCCGGATCAATACAATGCTGCTGCTCGACATCTGGGGCCCGGACGCGCGCTGACACGAGCATAAATTTTGCAGCCTTCAGCCACGCCGACAACGACGACGACGATACGGAACGCGAGTACGATCGCCTCCGTGACCTCGCCCGCGAGGAAGCCAACAAACGCAATCAGGCCTTTGAGCGCGTAAGTGGCCCCAGCCTAAGCCTAAGCCCAAGCCGAAGCCTTGTCCAAAACACGTGGTTTTGAGTTTTGTGTGATGCCGCAAGACTAACACCAACCCTCGATGCTCTCCAGTCTCAACAAGCATACCAGTCGGGCGATGGCGCGGCCGCCAAGGAGCTCTCCAACGAGGGCAAGCGCCACGCGCAAAAGATGGAGGACTACAACCGCCAGGCGTCCGAGTTTATCTTCCGGGAGAACAACGCCGCCGGCCGTGTGACGGGCAGCTGCGTCGATCTGCACGGGCAGTACGTCGAGGAGGCGGAGCGCATCCTCGAGGAGCGCATCCGCGCCGACCGGGCGCGGGGCCAGGAACACTTGCACGCCATCGTCGGCAAGGGAAACCACTCGACGGGCCACGTGCAGAAGTTGAAGCCGAGGATCGAGGCCATTTGCCGCGAGATGGGACTCAAGTACTCGACCGAGGAGAACGCCGGCCGGATCTACATCAACCTCCAGGGCGGGGATGCAACGATGCCGCCGCCGCCTCACACTGGTGGTGGACAGCAACACCACGGAGGCGGCCAGCAGCAGCATCATGGCGGCCAGCAACAGCACCATGGCGGTCAGAACCAGCAGCACGGCGGGCAGACCCACGGTGGACAACAGCAGCACCACGGCGGCCAGAACCAGCAGCAAAACCAGGACGAGACTGGCGACTTGGTCGTCAAGATTCTCAAGAAGCTGGAGAAGGCTTGCTGTATCGTCATGTAAGGGGGTTTTGGTCTCTGTTGTGGCCTTCTCCGCTTGCTCCCCCCTTTATGGCTTTCGGCTGCCGGGACGCATCATTGTATGCGGCCCGGCCTTTTTTTGAACCTTGGATACCCAGCGGACTCAACGTGAAATGGTAATGTCTTCTATTCTTCTGAACCTATGTATATATAGGCTTGATACCCTGGCGAGACGTCACTGGACTCGGTCGCTTTGGGATTGGATATAGGGCGACGTGGGTTTTGTCCACGTCAGGATGATTCAAACACATCATTTAAGATTTTTTGATATAATTGGAACCAATTCCTCGTCCAAGGTGTTTGCTGTGTCTTGAAAGAAATAAACACACTCGATACCTCCGAAATCTCGAATTAAAATTGGTCTTTTGAATTTGACGGCCGAGGTTAACGCTTCAAAGCTGTGAAGAGAGCCCTCGCCAGTGCCGGATGACAACCAATATCGGCTCGGCATTCAAAGTAGTAGAGCACAGTCTCCCAGATAAAGGCAGTGACTCTCGCGCATCGGAATTCCCATTGAAGTCTATGCATCTATCCGAGGTGAAGCTCCAAACGAAATCCCGATAGGTTCTTATCGTTATCGGAGCTCCAGCGCTGTCCGATTTATAGAGATCTGATTGGCCAGCGCTGACCGGGGGTAAGGCAAGCTTGCCTGCCATCCCGTTCGGCGCAGCGCTGCTCTGCTGAGGAAGTGCTTTAACCAAAGAAATTTCAACCATCGTCATCGCCCCCGGAATCAACCACAACTTCCATCACGTACCGCCCGGCCTCGCATATACCCTGTCAACTTTACGAGTTCATCAGATCAATCACATCTCAAAATGGACGCGTAAGCTTTATCCCCCTTGAATGATCCCCTGGAATTACTAGAGGAACATAGAGATCAGACATAGCGACTAACGCGCAATTCTCTATTACCAGCCTTACCAAGACCGAGGAGGCCCAGCTCCAGCAGAGACTTCAGAAGCGCCAGGTCAAGGAATTCATGAACGTACGTTTCTCTCTTCAACCTCCCGTTCCGCCATTCACCAAAAAAAAAAAAAAAACGAAAAAATCCGTTCCTCCGTCTCCCATGTTTCTTTCCTCCTTCGGTCGCTGTTCGAAAAAGCGATAAGACTCCCAAGACTCTGTGGCTAATCCTTTCCCCCCCTTTTTACAGCTCTTTGGCAACCTCGTCGACCACTGCTTCACCTCGTGCATCGACGACTTCACCTCAAAGTCCCTCTCCTCCCGCGAGACCGGCTGCATCACCCGCTGCATCCAGAAGCAGATGTTCTCCCAGCAGCGCCTCAGCGAGCGCTTCCAGGAGCACAACGCCCAGATGACGGCCCAGATGCAGGGACAGTAAATCCACAGTCGAGAAAGAAATCCCAAATGATGTAAAAAAGAGAGAGAAGAGAATGGGCACGCAGAGGGTGTTCGATAGAGCGAGCGCGCGCGCGCGTGCTGATGTAACAGTATTCCCAGCAAGGCAGGCGCAGACAAGCCCAGTCGGAGGGGAGAAGGCCCTGGGATTTGCAACATTTACCACACACGATCTCCAAATTAACGAAGCCAGGCGAGTGAGGTGGGACGGACAACCACGAACGAGGAGGGTTTCCTGTATATTACATTATGTTACGTTTTCCTTCCCCTGACCGGTGGTTAGAAGACGTGGCATAGTACCTTTATGCGGGTTTGGAATAAACACCGCTGTATGAAGGGAGAAACGAATGGATAAAATATCTACTCCATGAGCCGTCGAGACCGTTTGATTGTATGCCATCAATTCGGGAGACAAAAATCAGAGTGAAAACGGGCGTCATTTTGGTCGTACCCAGCAATCTGCTAGGGGTATCCACAAACTTGATCCTACGTAGACTATGGGATTTCCCAGTGACGATGGCTGGAATAGGTATGATGCACCCACGTTTATCCTACACACTTAAACGCCTAAACCCTTTTGTCGTTGTTCCCCTCCAGGTCATTCATTCCCTTGTGGCCGACGATAACCCCTTCGGCTTCATTATTTCTATCTCAACGTCCCTCCTCATCCTTCCTCAAGACTCTTCGAGGTCTTCGCTTAATACATCCCTCACAGCCTCCAACTGCGAGAGGACCTTGCTCTCCAGGACATTTCCTGGCTGGTCAGTCTCATCCGACGCGCCAGTCTTGATGCTCTTCCACTCCACCTCACGCTGGCCCAGCGGCAGAAGTCTGTCGCGCAGCAACTTGCGGCTCGATAACCAGAAGTCGATGTTTTCCAAAAGGGAGGCAGCATCCCATTGGATCTCTGGGATATCACGGTTATTGGCAGTTCGCAAAGCGGCGATAACTCTTGTCAACAGAGCAAGAGAGTGCACCTCTGATACTGCAAGGAGCGTCACATAGTGTGGCGTCTCTCTCGATGCTGTACGACTGGCGCCAGGTGCCTCGAATCGGTCAACGCTAGATTTGAGAAGCAGAGGGAACTGTTTAAGAACGTAACCCAGTTCAGGCGCAACCGTTCCGCCCAGGGCAGTGAGAAGATTCAGCAATAGGGGCAGAACACCCTTGACCCAGATGCTGTAGCATCGCTGGGGCCCAACAGCTTCCGAGAAGGGAGAGATATTTCCGCGGCGCATAAAGTTGGTGATGCCTGCCGAAGTCAGGTGGCTCAGCAAGCCGTCGCAAGCCATCTGTTCTGCCACCGCCGGCAGGGTAGAGAGCTCCAGCAAAAAGAGCAAGCTCAACTCGCCATAGATCGGGTCGCCGTTGATGGAAAGTTTGTCAGCCCAAGAGAAAAGTGATGTCGCTGCGTGCATGGCATCATATGATGCCATAATGTTGAGTACCTGTGTTTGACATTGGTCAATGGTTGGCATGTTGAGACAAGCTTGCAAAATGGCCGTAAGCAGAGCAAGGTCCTCAGGTGCAACGGCAGCCTCGGAATCGTGCACAAGGGCAACGAGAGTTCTGAACCCCTTTGCGACTACTCGGTCGAGAAGGTTCAGAACAGTCTGAGTAAGTGTGATCGAGAAGCCGTCACCTCCGTTCTTCGAGGCTCCCAGGGACTTCTTTTCCGCAGCACTATACGCACGCAGGGTAACATAGATTGCCTTGAGCATCGTGCGGTAGTACGAGATAGATTCCGGGTTGAAGGGCTCCTCGACAGCGCTGATGATGGTGAACAATGTTCCCAGAAGTTGGTTCACATCGTGAGATGAAATGGGACGACCAACGAGACGCTGAACGAGAAGCAAACTCAGATCAGCTCGCTCTTCGACAATCCGCATGAAGATATTCTCTGGGCCTTGGTTGGACCGATTCGCTTCGAGACATTGCTGCGCAACTTGCAACATTTGTCTGGCGATGGTTTCGTTTTCTGCCAGAGAGCTACTAAGCTCAAGAAGCAGGTATTCCCATGCGTGGAACAGCGACTGCGGCAATATCAGTACGGGCCGAAAGGGCAGGTGGGTGTCCAGGTGAGAAACTTACAATCTGCGCGTCAACTAGGGACAGGTTGGCGTTGGCAATCCCCATCTCGTTACGAAACCCATTGTTGCGACGACCATGCCAGCCTGGATCGAAGCTCAACATCTCGGTTGCACTCTCCAGATCATAGAAATAGCTTCTACCTAGCTCGCCAGGTCTCAGTGATGTCCTTTTGAAAGCTTCTAACGAAACTCCGGGGTATTTGCTTGTGAAGTTTTTGGCAAAGTTGCTGTGCAGAGAAGTATTGTAGCTCGAAACTTCTACGCCGTCCCTCAGATAGTAGTCTAGGTCGGATACCAGGCTCTTGGCGAATATGTCGGCCCCGCCCATCTGCCGTAAGTGATAGAGCTGCATGGCGAATATCTCGGCAATGTAAGCGGCCATTTTGGCATCTGTGGCAGCCTTAACGGCATCTGTCTTGCTTGTGACAGTAAAGCTACTGAGGTCCTTGACGTAAAGGCGCAGAGAGTCCAAGAAGGACGAGTCTTTTTGCATGGTGAAGATTGTCCAAGGCCAATGGTTCTGAGATGATGCAACGAAATCGAGGATCCTGATTGCCTCGCTTGTTTCCAACTCTTTGATCTTCTTCAGCTTTGCAAAGGCTGTCGCTAGCACCGAGTTGGGCGTCGATGAAGCGTCCTTCTTGACGCCCTTCAGAGCATCTCTGGGCGTCTTGCCTGTCAAGAGACAGTTTGATAGCCACTGCTGGCGGTTCTGCACAATTGTGGAGAAGAATTTCCACGTTGTCTGCACATCCTTCGCAACGAGGAAGGGCTTGTCGAGTCGCGACAAGACTTCGATAAATGACCGGGACAAAAGGGGACCTAGGTATCCCAGAAGGGAAGGAGGATCATCGTGAGCTTTGGCAGCACTCAGCACCAGAGCCTCCAGGAGGAGCAAAGCTGGTCGCCGGAATTGCTCGCAGATTGCACATAACCTTGCCAAAATCGATGACGTCTTGAAGAGGTGTTCTTCAAACGTCGCTGATGGTCTGTCCAGGTAGCTCGCAACACGTAGTAAGGTTGTCGTGAATCGCAAAGCGCATGTGAGCTGTTCCTGAGCTGAGGCTAGTCGATCTTGGTAGAATGTTGAGTCGGGGATTTGGAGACCATTGACCAAAGTTGTGAGGAGCGGCTGGAACCTAAGAGACCCTGTTGAGGGCGAGAGGAACGCATCGATAATGTAGGACGCTGCAGGTTCCAAGCAAGCCGCCAGCGTATCCGCGCTCTCTTGGTCACCCATCCCGTAGGTGTGCTCGATGATCTGATCCATGACAGGGACAACGTGCCGAATGAGCAGTGCTTTGTGAAGCTCTGATCCGAAGCGCCAAGTTGAGGAGGTCTCAAAGACGTCAACCGCGGCTTGAGCAATTGCGAGGCTGACTTTGCCCAAGACTTTGTCCGCCACGCCGAGCCAAACGTTGTTCGATATCTTCTGCCGTCCAACCAGCTTGTTGCCGGATTTGCGTTGAACAGCGCTGCTCTTGACGCTGTCAATGAGGCTAGAAAAAAGCCGTACAGCCGAAAGCAACAGTTCATATCGGTCTCCAACTAAGTCGAGATTACCGGTGATCTTTGCCAATTTTCCTGCTTGGGCTTCCGAATTGAGAAGTTCGCAACGCGCCAAGTAAGACCAGACTCTCGTGGGGCAAAGCGGCAGGATCGCATGTAAGAATTGAACGCATGAGTTGAGCACTGCGATGCCCTGTCCTTCGGTCGCCTTCTCGTCTTGCATATAGGCATCCATGGTCTCGCAGACAACCGCCGCAAGGTCTTTGTTCCCGGAGATTTGCTTACCAATCTCATCCAAAAGCTCTTGTCCCGACTTGAGCGATGTTTCGCCGCTCAAGCCCTGCTTTTCAGACTTCAGTACCTCCGCGCGCAGTAGTGTTGCTAAGAGAGCAATGGTTTCTGCGGTTTCCTCTGGCTGGAACGCATCCAGCTCGCTGCGGTAAGTCTCGGGTGCCAGTTGGATTTCGAGCCTCTTGCCAAGCAAAGCAAGAGCAGAGTGCTCATACTCCAATAGAACCACGCGACCCGTATCCGTCACAAAGCGTCCTACTGTTTCCGCAGGTATCCTAAATACGTCGTCCACCCGAGTTCTGCGATTCCATGCCGTGGCAGGCGTGAAAAGCGGTATGTCTTCGAGTAGATAAAATGTGTTGGTATTGTCCTCCTCCTGGGCTAGCTCGTACTGCTGGTAGTCATCGGGGAGAATGAAGGTAAGTGATGGGGTTTTGCGCAAGAGGTTGACTACCGTATCCATCCGGTCGTCAGCAACGGTGCAGTTCGCCAAAGTCCTGCAAAGATTGAGGAATGGCAGCAACTCAAATGGATATCGGTTGAGGGCCTGGTGGAAGTAGTATTCGAGTGCAACATCGTCGTGGAGCACCTCGGCCAAAATATCACTTGAGGCGTGCAGCGAAGGCTTCGAAAGGTCCCAATATTGCTGGCCAGCTCCCAGGACCGAAAGGAGAGAGGTGACAGAGTCTGACTGATACCCTACGAGGGGATATGTGGCTTTGAGGAAGTCGACGTACGAAAGCCGGATTCTGGAACTGAGAAGTGCCGAGAAGGCTCCGTCACTGGAGGCCCCAATAGCCAGTGCCATCTCGGACAAGACTTCGTAAGCCCGTCCATGCGATGTGACAGCTACTGCCAGCTGCTCCACAACCTGCAAGTCCTTGTCCAAACCCGCATTGGTCAGGAAAATGTCAAATGACTTGCCGTCGAGAGAAACAATGCTCCCTGCAGAAAGACGGCGAGCGGTAGTGGGCCGAATCAAGACACCAGCCTCGAAAGTCTCCTGAGATCGCTGGTTCTGTAGCGCATCTCGCTTTTCGATTCGGTCGTGATGCGAATAGAACATGCGGTGGACAACGACGGTCCATGCAAA